TATTGTTGTGTTGTTAAATTTTATCTCTGGGCTTGGTGATTTTGTTATTGCTGCGAGTACTGATTTCATTGGGTTCACCTGAATGTTTGTTAACTAGTAAAAAGTCATTGCAGTATTTACGATATCTTGTAATTGCTCTTTTGTTGGTGCGATCCATAAGGTATCGTTCATATAAGCCAGTACCGAGTACTTTGTTTGAATCTTTGTGTTGTCAGGTGCTTCAATGTTAGTATATGACTTGAGTATATAACCGGTGTGTTGCTTTGATATTCTTGTTATTAGAGGATCATAGTAGATCCTCCATAGTAGTGGTGCTATCGTCTCTCCTTGATCTATTCCATTGTGTACTGGGTATTTGTTTGTATTCTCTAAGTTTGTAATTACATGGTTTGATCTGTCTGTAAATATTTCTGTAATCAGTGCTATGATGTTATTAGGTATCTTTAGTCTTTGTAGTGCCATTTTAAGCAGTGGTATGTGCACTGAATCATACGCTTTTGACATATCTTGTGATAGTAATCACAGTTGTTCTTTGTTTGTATAAGCATCTTCTATTATATGTGAAAGTGTTTGAATAGGTATCATTGTTAATGTATTTGGCAGTGCTACATAGTTGTTGATATTTAGTATTGGATATTGTGTACATATCATACTTATTCTTCTTGTTAGTATTTTAGTAAAAATTTTTCTAGTATGTTCTATTAACGTAATAGGTCTTGTTTGATTAAGTTGCCCATTGAATTTGGGTTTTTTTGATATGGGGTAGACTGTGCTCTGTTTCCACATTTTTGGTATAGTTTGTAGTGTGAGACTTGCATTAAATATCTTTAATAGTACTAGCAGCATATCATTGTTTAAGTGTTTTAACATTTCGTTACTTAGTTGTTGAGGTCCGGGGGCCTTATTTGTAAGAGCTTCATTAATTGTTAGCTCAAGTTCTTTTAGTGTTATAGTTTGGGTCAGTTTATCGTACCAACTAGGTTGTATGTGCTGTAAGGGCTGGTATTCTTCTTGCCACGTCTTCCACATTAGTGTATTAGGATTGTT